CGGGAGCTCAGCGGGTGGTAGCGCAGCACCAGAGCCTTGGTCACCTGCAGGGGAAGAGAGCAGGGGTTGGATGTGCCGTGGGGGCAGAGCAGGACCAGACTGACCCCCGTTAGTGCAGGCGCTGCTGTCCTTACCCAGAGGAGCAGGCCGAGGGCCTGGGTGCGGTGGGGACCCTCGGCCAGGCCCGGCTCCAGCCGGTTCAGTGCTAGCTGCAGCACTTCGTCCAGCTGCAGCCCTGGAGAGACAAACGGGGCAGGGTGGATGTGCCCCATGCATGGGGCTTCCCGTGTGCGCAGGCACGCGTGAGCCCCCACTCTCACCTTCTGGGTGCTTGTTCACCAGTCCTGCAAAGCACTTAGCGGCAGCCGTGGCGGCAAAGGGGCAGTCACAGGCGCAGCTCAGGGCCAGCAGCTCCCGCAGCAGCCGGTCCTGCTGAGGGATGGGGACCTGTGGGGGAGACATGCTGAGATTCAGACCCACAGGACCTCCCAGCAAGCGCCAGAAGGACGCAGCCCCTCAGGCCCACCAGAACCCCCCACACTCACGTTCCTGGGCAGGGAACAGATGAAGGCCATGAGCAGGATGACCAGGCGTCTCTGCGCTGCTAAGCACAGCCCGTCCTGCCAGGAGACAGCATCCACATCAACCCTGGGACTCACCCCCCAGCTCCTTCCTGCATGCCCATCCCCAGCCCCCTGCCCCCCCTGGCCCTGCCCCACACACCTGGAAGGGCTGGAAAGAGCAGGGGAAGCTGTTCTGGGGTAAGAAGGAAACGTCCCCGTCCAGGAAAAGGGGCACCATGAGTGCTACACTCTGCACTGCCAGCCTGGACAAGAGCAACGTGGTGGGTCAGTGTTGCCAGGCAGAGCTGCAGCAAGGCTATGGTGCTCAATCCCAGCACCGCCAGCAAATGCGTGCCCTGGGCCCCCTCCCTGCCTGCAGGCCCTGCACTCACTCGGGGCTCAGGTGGGTGCTGGCAGCGCTGATGACGGGCACCATGGAGGTCAAAGCCTCCTCCTCCAGCAGCGCCTTGCCTGGCGCCAGAGCATCCTCTGGGGGAAGGGTGAGTACTGGATGGTCAGAACCTGCAGGGCCTTGGCCCCTGCATCCAGGGAGACCCTGATCCAGGCTATGAGAACCCGGTGAAGGGGCACAAGGGGAACCCAACCAGCCCCCCGCCCCAACTGCAGCAGCGTCATCCTCGCACCCAGACCCGGCAAAGGGTGTCTCTGCTCTCAGCTGATGGTCCAGGTACCAGCTGGATGCCTCAGGCCCAAACCCAGGAGCCCCAGCCCGAGCCCAGCCCCACTCACCTTGCAGGGCAGCCTGCAGGGCCAGGCCCAGCAGACAGGGCACCACAGCCCGGTGGTAGAAGCTGCAACTCTCGGGGTCGTGCTGGCTCTGCATGGCCACGCGGTGCAGGCTGCGGCACAGCGATGCCATCTTCCCAGCGTCCCCTGGCTCACTGCCTGAGGGCAAAGGGCCTGTGAGCACCCTCTCTGGTGCTGGCCCC